GTTTTGAAATTCATTTGGTAAATAATAGTATCATATAAAGAAGCAATTACAATTAGCAATCTAATAAAGATAATCCTAGCCCCCAGGGCACATCTCTAAGTGGTAAAAAGGGAGGGTGGAGAAATTCAGTTTTGCTTGAGGCTGCCGCGTTAAAAGTTCGAATCCTGAAATATAGATTTGGCTCTTGGGTAAGTGCAAGTGTACAAGCAACCTTTCACCCTGTACCCTTGGAGGCATAACCTGCGATTTACCTCCCTCACGATACTCCAGGACAGGGGCGGTGAGGGACCCTTAAGGTTGGGGTTCAACCTTTAATAAAGGTAATCCTAATAACATCTTCTTTTTTCCATTTTTACACGCAATCGCCATGCTGCCTGTTTACTCCATTCTGCCTTTACTCAATTTCTCACACATCCATCCATGCAGCGACTAATGTACCACCATACTTTGGCTTCTAGTCTCATTACCACTCTATATTCCGACAAAAATCTCCTCATTTGTTCCACCAACGAATGCTGTTTGCTTCTTTTCATCTTTGAAGTTTTGGCAATCAACATTATTTTCAACCTTTTTCTCCGAATAGCTGTGTCTCTTTCCTTACTCGGTTGAGGGAAGAACTGGAAGTCAATTTTCCCCTATTCGAGCCATAGCTTGGGTGGTGTTTTAACATGTTTTAGTTGTTTTTCTTTATTTCTAAACGTGGTTAAAAGTGCTGGCAAAATAACAACTGTCTAAGGATATTTTGTTCATACACATGCTACTGATTTTTGCTCCTTTCATTTTCATTGTCCTAATATGTGCTTGCAACGTTGCTTTAGGATTTTTTACTATAGTAATATTCATACTTTTACAATATATACTTTTTCTACTGAAATTTGTGTGTTTTCATCATACAGATCAATTGAGGCTTTGCCATTGGGATTTCGGTTTGCCAGGGAACTGACGGTAAAATTGTTTTCCCCTTCACAAAAACTTATTTTTTTTTTGTATTATTAATATTTTATGGCTTTTCAAATTGATAAAATATAACACAAATTTCTCTAATTGTTATTTGATATCCCAATATATTATGAACCAATCTAATTCTGCAAATGTTGCATTTATTGTAGTCTTTCTAACTACTAATGTGATACATTCTTCTTACCAATTTCTTTGCTCTAAAAAAATAACAAATTTTACAAAATTAAATTCTAAAGTTATAACAAAGTGCACGACCCCTCACTAGTATAAATTTAAAAAACATTGAGTTTAAACCGACTATCATTTGCATACCCTTTTTCAACAAAAGAACTACGTTTTGACAGTACAACTTTACAACTCTTGAGTACATTTTAAACTATTTTTTAACTAAAATATAACCAAACACTAGAATTTCCCTAATATTAGCTACATTGAAAATATCCTTCAAATTAAGGAGATTTCTAAAGTAAACCTACGTTTCACCATTCATGTTTCCTCAACCTTGGAGGAAGAAGCATTCAGCATGAACATATATTCTCCATTACTAACATGAATGATTGAGAACTTCACGTGCAACAAATATGCTTGCTCCAAAATCGAATCAACAATATATCATGTTGCTTATTAGATTAACTTCTGCCACTATCGTAGAAAAGTTCCCGTCTTTTATTACAT